TTTGATTTTTTTAAAAGTGGCAGGGAAAAATAAAATTGATTTTCCAAAAAATTCGTTTTTTCCAAAAAACTCAGCAATCCTTGAAATTTTTAAAACTTTTTTGATGGCATCTTGGTGAACATCCCAAGGCGCAACTTTGCCCCTATTTAACCATCTTCGTATCTATTACGGTTTTCGAGATACCAATGCTCGTACCTCGAATTTGTAGCACCCTGTATAGTTTATAGTAACAAGCTAAAGCCTGATGTGATATTTTAACATACCCTAAAATTGTGTTTATGTATAAAAGTGTAGATATGTTTTAGGTTGTGTTTTGTGTATTTCAGATGTTAGGTACGCTAAAAGAAACTTAGTGATACGAGATCAACAGCCGCTTTCTTGAGTCGTACCATTTTCAAGGCTTTTGAAAAAAAAAATTTTTTTGAAATAATGCTATAAAGAAACTATAAGAGATGTGGAATAGATCAAACTAACAGTAATTACACCCACCCAGTACGGAAAATGTTGTAAATTTTTTAACTTTTAGTTTATACTGCTCTCCTGTAATTATATAGATATTCTCTTATGTAGAAGTATAAGAAACAAAACGATTGAAACTGGTGCTCCACTACCGACATATAGGCGAGGTAAAACGCAGTAGGTGACATGCAAATACTCAGAAACAAACGAAGATGGCCAGCAGTTCAAAAAGCTTCCTCAAAGTTGCCAGTTCAACAATTTCCTTGATAAATATGTTTCTCTTTTTGTAGATTACGAAAATAAAGTGAAGTTTAAATATGTTTTATTGAAAAAGGGCAATTCTTTTGTAATAAGGATCTAACGTGTAAACTAAGTGTTACATTTATTTTGTTCTATTATGTGGAATTAATCCTGGACCTTCAAAGTTTCTAGAATGAGGAAAATCGAAGCTTTCGAAATCTAGTTATTTCCTCGGATGCTCAAGATATACTAAACAGAGTACACATCTAATCAATCCGTCTAACTTCACACGAACTTAGAGATAGAGAGAGAGCAAAAAAGAAATCGGAATACTTTGAACATACTCTCAGGAGTGACTATCAACCAGGAATACCGCCTACTACACCTTAACGTCACAGATAAAATTGAAAGTAAGCGAGGTCCAGACACAAGACAGATGTCGTGGATGAAAGAGAAACCATTAAAGAATGGACTGCATTGAGTAACCAGCGAGGTAACCACACACTCGTCAGAACAGCGGAAAAACAGTCGGCAATATTCGTCAAAAGAGGCATCTGAAGAAGAAGATCATAAAGTAAACAAAATTTTTTGACAATGGAAAGCTGTGTATACAGTTTATGGAAAATAAATGTTTTAAATTTGTGTATAATGCAAGAAATACTTATTAAACCAATTTTATAATTATGACAAGAAAGAGTAGTGTACAAGTACCCGTGTGCCTAGAGGTGTTTCAACTCTCGTCCAGCATTTTTACAGTCGTTTCTTCGACTGCTGCCGGCATTTGATCAAACGGTATTTTTTGATAAAAGTAAAACTAACTTGGGCACCTAGATCAACTCTGCCTGAAACCAGTAGGTAGATAGGATTCATAATCCTAAGGTATTAAGAGGCAGTTAAAGTGTAGTGCTAGCCACACCATTTTCCTAGTAAATACAGGGTGTTTCAAAACAAATGCGAAAAACTTCAGGGGGTGATTCCTTGTTAAAAATAAAGGGTAGTTTGCTTTATAAACGTTGGGTCAAAGATCAACCATTAGGGAGATATCGCGGTTCAAAGATGGCGGAAAAATAAAGTTTTTATTTTTTATCTTGAAAACGAAAAGATATAGACTAATGAAAACTTATGGAAGCATTACTGTTATGAAAACATACTTTCTGGTAATTTTTTCACTTTTTTAAAATGAAAATTAATTAATTAATTTTTTCGCATATGTTTGATAAGATTTTTCTTTAAATTTCGTTAACAAGAATGATAGGGGTAGTTTATTTATACCCCTACCACTCATTTTGAAAAAGTGAGAAAATTACCAGAAAGTGTGTTTTCATAACAGTAATGCTTTCATAAAATTTCATTAGTCCATCGCTTGTCGTTTACAAGATAAAAAATAAAAACATTACTTTTCCGCCATCTTTGTACCGCGATATCTCCCTTCTCTCCCTTCTCCCCCTCGACTTTTGACCCAACGTTTATAAAGCAAACTACCCTTTATTTTGAACAAGGAATCACCCCCTGAAGTTTTTCGCATTTGTTTTGAAGCACCCTGTATACAGACGACTATATACAGTTATAGAGATTATAGCAAGCTGTACCTTGCTAGTCCCAAGGCATGTAAACACTATATATGGAAGAATTATTATGAGAGGGCAAAAATAGTTAATCTTATTAAAAACATACATCGCAAATTCTAGAATGATTTTTTAAAAATAATGGCACTATTAAATGTTACGAAATTTATACAATAATCATTAACATGTCACACCCAAATAGCGTACCAAATTAATAAACAAATAAAAGACGACTAAACATGGCGGCGAACGATCGCGCCCTAATGCGCTTCCAATGACCAATTAACACATTTTTATGTAATTGGAGATTTTCAAACGGGCCATTAGAGAAGAACGCGTTTTTTGACATTTCGAACCGAAGAGCACCGTGCGACACATTCGGAGACATTGACCATACCATTCTGGTACACGATTGAAATAGTCCCGTACATGCCGTATATTGCAGGTTGTAATAAAAAAAACGAGATTTGGTAGGTATGTTATATAATGACATAAATTAGAATTGATTGAAGCATTCAATTGTTTTTAGACCGATCCTGTTTCACAATGGCTATAACTTTAGATTTTTAAACGGCACCCTCGGTATTTTTTACTTTATTCGATAGAAAATGACACTTTGTATAGAATGACATATTATATGTCAACTTTTGACATTTTCGCTTTAAAAAAAATGTATTTTACATTTCACTCTAGAATGCCATGGCTGCGAAAAACACTACTTTTTAATCAACGAGCCTTGGAAAAAGAGATTTGAGCCTCTAATGTTTTTATTGTCTTGTCCTGGCCGGCTAAAAGATGCTCAAATCGTATTTTTAATTATATTTCAATTTTTTTAAAAGGAACCAGGGTGCATATTAACTTGGGCTCATTAGCATATTTGAAAAAAGCATTTTTTTACGAATAATTTGGTACCACACACTTGATATTTCGAGTCAAATTGTCTTTATAAACTGCATGCTACAATTTCAAATAAACCATATGCGAAAAAGTCAAAAGTTGCCATATGATATGGCATTCTATTCAGAGTGTCATTCTATTCATAGTTTTCTGTGGAATACATTAAAAAAATACCGAGGGTGCCATTTAAAAATCAAAAGTTGTAGTCATTTCCGGTGAAACAGGAAGTGACCGAAACAATTGAATACGTCAATCCATCCTAATTTATGTCGTATACTAACATACCAAATCCCGTTTTTTTATCTACAGAAATAAAAAAGTTATAGGGGTGAGTCACTTTTGAGACGCACCCGATATATTATGTTTTTTAAGACAAAAATAGAGCTTAAGGTGAGTAAAAATGTAATTTTTCGTGAAATAAAAGAGAAAAATGTTCTAACCTCAAAATATTTTTTTGAGGTAAGATGCGTTTTTTTTTCTGTTAAAAATAAATGGTTATAGATACGTTGTTTTATTTATTATATTTATATATTTAAATTTCTGGTAAAAATGTAAATTTTAAGAATAAAGAGCACAAGATTATTATTTTTGCTGTAATAATTGAGAAAAAAAAATCTAACTTCAACCGTATACTTGCTTTCAGAATATCTAATCTATCATTAAATAATATCGGACTTTTCGATTTATGCTCTGAAAATTCAAGTTAAATTTGCCAAACGCATACTTCATTACTATATCATTTTGGGGCAAGCAATTCCATTTCTCGAAATGATGTAGCCAGATCTTTTCAGACAAATATATATTTGATCAATTTAAGCAATTCTGATCAAGAATTCCATGCTCTACATTTAAAAAGATATCTATTTGAGTATATTCAAATCTAACATATGCTCAAGGTTAATAACATTAAAACAAGTATTTTCTTTTTTGTATTTTCTTGCCTATGTAGGAACATGGAATTCCTAAAGTTGAACAGGAGCCTATATGAATAGGATCCAGTAAAGTTGAATAGGAATGTGTCACATAATAGAAATTCCTATTATGGTAATATCTATTTCAACTGCAAAGCGGTGACATACTAAACAATATTGAATAGAAATTGAAATTGAAATAATAGAAAACAATTTAGAAATATATTGAAATACAATAGAAAATACTATATCATAATAAAATTTACTGCATTATCACTGTTAATTTTTTTAATAATTAATTTAACTTAACCACAATGGTGTTATTTTAAAAAACGAAAATGTAATAGCAATACAGTGCTAGCATCTACAAATGCCTGAGCAATACATTTATTTATATTGTATTGGATAAGAAAAGCATTTAATTTTCCGTTTGGGAGCCGATCGGTTCTTTCATAGTAATTTTTTCATAACTGATTTAAAAAAAAAACAAATAAATTACCAAGATTGAATCACATTTATTCAAAATACGCACCAAGAAATAATTCTAAATAAATTTTGAAACAGAAAAAATAAGTATTTCTAGAGCAGTATTCAAATTTATTTTCCAAAAGTACCATACTAAACCGTGTGAAAGCAATAACGTATCGATTTCAATCGTATAGTACGCTGAGGTACCTTCCATACTCGCGAAATTCTCAATGGGGACGACAGATTCTTTCCCCCGCATTCATCCTCTAACGACAAAAATTATTGCACAAAAAAATCGCCTCGACGTCTCTTCTGATCTAAATACATGATTGTGCATCACGACCGTCAATGTATATAAGAGGAGGATCGTCTTCCGAAGATTCATTCAGCGGTTGACAATTCTTTAGATACATACATACATTACATATAGTTAGTTAGTAGTTAGTGGTATATGGAATTAGCTTTATTCAATCTGGTATAGTGCAAAAATATAAGTGCAAAAGATGGAAAAAGTAAGTTCAACTTCTAAGAAGCTCCAAAAAAAACTTTAATGTCTTTTTTTTCTGCATAAGCATCTGTACTTTTTCATTATTTATTATATTAGAAAATAATTACAGTTAGAGGTTGGAACCTTTGGTGTTACACCAAAATTAAACACTAATTTACCACATTACACCAAAACACTTTACTTTTGCACTGGAGAGCATTTCGCTAACTATGTTAGAATTATCAGCAGATGACTAAAACTGAAGAAAAGTACTGAGATTTAATCATCTGTTGGTGATGCTAACATGATTGACGAAATGCGCGTCCAGTGGAAGAGTAACAATAATACCATGATATAGTCATTACAGCAGTTTCAAACATTAGTTGACAATGTACCTAGACAAATATTGTTTTTTTTATGTTGTGTATATTACTTACTTTGAAGATGCAACTAAGTCCAGCTGGTATTAAAATTTTCAGCACAAAAATAGTTATTTCAAGTAGATTTAATATAAAAGCTACAACTTTTATATTTCCAACAACTTTGTCGTTTTAATAACCTACTTCAAATATATTCATTAATGTTATTTCTTCCACAAATCCTATAATTTCTAAAGATTGACATTAACTATAAAATATGGTTTAACTTCAATTTCAAAACTTTACAATTTCCCAACTTCTTTATTGAAGTTTCTTTATTCTACTGTAACTTTTTTGCATCCAAATATTCTTTATTGCGATTTGATTGGTAGTTCAATCTAGGTTTTCTGTTTTTTAATCACTGATTTTGTTTGTCTAATGAAAAGTACTAGTTTGGTTTAGGTCAAATTACAATAAAGAAATTTAAGGTGCAAGTAATATACATTAGTCTTCATAGTTCTGTAATTAAGATCCAATCTCAAGTAAAGCAACTAAGATATTTCCAGAATAACAAAAATAAAAAAAACTTGAGTTATTTCTTATTCCAACTTACCAAAAGTAAATTTTCATTCCTGCATTCATTTTCTTACGACAAAAATTATTGCACAAAAAAATCGCATCAACGTCTCTTCTGATCTAAATACATGATTGTGCATCACGACCGTTAATGCATATAAGAGGAAGATCGTCTTCCAAAGCTTCATTCAGCGTTTGACGATTGTTTAGATACATACACACATTGCAAATAGTTAGTTAGTAGTTAGTGGTAAATGGAATTAATTTACTCAATCTGGTATAGTGCAAAAACGTAACTTCAAAAGATGGAACAAGTAAGATGTACTTCTAAGAAACTAAATACACAAGAAAATCTTAAACTTGTTATTTTGCCTACATTATTTAATACCATCACAGAGTCATTACAACAGTATCGAACATTAGTCGAGAATATAGACAAATATATTAATAATAATTATGATAATAATAATTATATTGTGAATATTACTTTCTTTGAAAATATAACTAGTTCCAGTTGGTACTAAATTTCCAGTATCCAGTAGTAATTTCAAGTATTATTATTTACTACAAAAGTTACACATTTTATATTTTGAGCAGCTTTATCATCTTAACAACATAATCCAAATAAATTCTTGAAGTTTATTTCTTTTAATTTTTCATTTCCATGAGATTAACAGTAACTATAAAAAAAAATGATGTAACTTAAATAAAAAAAAACTTAATAATAATAGCTCCCGTATATAGCGTTTAATGCCTTGGGAGTAGGCAAGATACAGCTTGCCATGCTAGAGCCGTTCGGTATACAAGGAAGGTAATGTGACTAACATTACGGTTCAACCGCCTATTATTACCTCAGGATTGTGAATCCCAAGTACTCATTTAAGGCTGAGTCGACCTAGGTACCCAAACTATTTTTATTTTATTAAAAATAGTCGGCTGATGAAATGCCGGCTGTGGGACTCGAACCCACAACCTTTGTATTGGTAGACGAGAGCTGTACCTCTACGCCACCGGGCACCATAATTTAAAAACTTCACAATTCATAAATTCTGTATTGAAAAATGTTGTAAGTTATTGTAACCTTTTTCAATACATATATTTTTTATTGGAATTTGAGCTAAACCTAGATTTTCTGTTTTATTTCACAACTGATTTTTTTTATGAAATAAAAAGAAGAAACATTTAAAAAAAAATATACTACGATACTATTTTTTTCTTTATACATCATTATTTAGATAAAACATTATTAAATAATATTACAAGTAAACTGCTGATAGCAATGTAGAGACATCTACAAATTACACGCGATCTTTTATCTAATAAATTTACATCTAAAGACGAATGATAGTGTGTTGCAAATTTTATAAATCTTTAATGTAGATAACTCAAAAAATCGGTAGGCTAGTCATAGCTTCTTGTACCTAACATCGTATAAGTACTTAAATCTGATTTGAGAGTAATTTTTTATAATATAAGAATTTAATTTGAAAAAGTTGTATATACCATAAGATCGAAAAAAAAAATGGAATTGAAGATCACTGTCAATTTTTATGCAAAATTATTATATGAGAAATGTCATCAACCATCATTTCAAAGCCAATTGGACGCGGTTTTTTTATAGCAAGTATTAATTTGATATCAATTTCTATCTTATTTATAATTAAGACCTGTTCATAATGAAACTTTTTAACTTGTTCTAAGCTTTAGCCATATATTGATTACAATACTTTTCTATGCCGATAGCTGATCCTGAGAAATATACTTGTTATATAATATGTCATATTTCAAATTCTGCAGATATTTATTAAGATTACAGTTGGGGGTTGGAACCTTTGGTGTTATACAGCAAAATAAAAACACTAAATTTTTTAACACCCAAGTATTCTAGTTTAGTTCAAAAAATCAAAATCTGTAAATCTTCCATAAATTCTACAAAAGGAATTAACGTTAATTCAGAATTTTCATTTAAATGAAATTCTTTCTTCATTCATTCTGGCATTTTTTACTTTATTTTTATATATAGTAATATCTTGTTAGTATATTACATTTACATCAAAGAAGGAATGTTGTACAAGGTTTACTTTAAAATATCGCCTAATTTAGAATTGTTCTACGTGATATTATTGTACAGTATGCCACTAATCCTGATTTTATTTTACAAATCTCTGTTGCTAATGACATTTATTAGCATAAAAAATATGTAATTAATTTAAACTTGTTAAAGTGTGGATTTTAAAAATGTTGTAACCTTAAATAAAGCAATTTAGAGATGTGCAGAAGAAAATTGTTAAATATTTATCATAATAAAAAACAAGATTAAAAAAATTCCCACTTATTCCATAAATATATATATAATTCTAGTAATTTGTATATCAATATAAATTTTTATTAATAAAAAAAAATGTATTATTAAACATTATATATTTTTTTCTAGATTATACCCTGTCTTTTGTTGGTTTGGACCGCTGTCGTAAGAACAGAACCACCAGTTAATTCATATTTACCGCCAAACGGAAATGGAAATGGGAATGGAAACGGAAGTAAGATATAACTAATGTTGTGTTATCGCTGTATCTATTTTATTTTCTCCCTCTATTTACGAATAGATGGCGGCCCAAGCTCGAGATATGGACCACCAGGCTACCAACCAGGTATTCCATTGGGGAACGGAAATGGAAACGGCAACGGAAACGGAAATGGTAATGGATATAATGGAGGACCTCCGGCTCCTGTTTATGGAGCTCCAGCAAATGGAAACGGTACGAATATTTTAATGAAAAAAGTATTAAATGTTTTGTCTAAACGCTGGTTTTCTATTGATCACCGAGTTTAGCGACCCTAGACGATGGTGAAGTTTGAACTCTCACATCGTAGATCTGTTGTTTCCTATGTAAAAGTGTCAACTATATTTTGACACAATATCTATTCACACTGGTTAGAGGCCGGATGAGATTGGATATTTTTAAAACTAAAATTTAAATAAACAAAACAATCTTTAGTGAGTTACACCATTTATAACTCAAGAACATCTGAACCGAGTTTAATGATCTTCTTCATCAATGATCATTTGTTGGATTTTTTCACCCGAATACCAGAATAACTATTAAATTATCGGATAAATTCATAAAAAACTATACAGAAAATTAAATTTAAATAAATTAATCCAAAAAGATATTGAAATGTAAGAGAAAAATTGAATAGAAATGTCAACAATGACAAATAACAATAACTGTCAAGTCGATTGATCACAATCAATCCAGATTATTCGATCAATCTGTCATCCGTAGGTACCACAGAGTTTCTCAGACTCCTACAAAGTTTCTTTTAAATAACTGATATTTTCAAGATATATAAAGTTAATATACTCAATATCCACCCAATAACTAAAAATGTTTAGACCCAATATAGACTCATATGCTTAAAAAGTTATATTGTTTTAAAGTGTCTATTTTAATTTTAATTCTAAAAATAAGTAACAACTAAAATAAAATATGCACTTAAAACTTAAGTCAAACTATTATTTTCAGGAAATGGTAATGGCAACGGTAATGGTTATGACGTAAACAGTGATCAGCAGCCTGGTACCAGTTACCTTCCTCCAAATGGAAACGGAAATGGAAATGGTAATGGAGCGCCACCAGCTGTGTATGGTCCACCTTCTACATCATATGGCGTACCAAATGGTAAGTAAATGATTTTCGAATGTAATACCACAAGATGTTTCGGGATTACCGAATAATACTTTCACCTGACACGAAATGCGTTACCCGGCAACACCACGACTCTGAAGGAGGAGTAGTGTTGCCGATATCGCATTGAGTGTCAGGCAAAAGTATTAGGTAATCCCGAATCATCAAGTTGTATTCAAAAGATTATACAACGAAATAAAGTACATACATCCTTCTTATCTTACACATTTTTGCCATTTTGTAATAAGAATTGACGGGATATTTTGTGGAACTGATAGAAATGACTTCTGAATTAATATTTCAAAAAATGACAATTACAATATGGCCACCAAGCGATAATCACTTAAATGATTATCACTTATTAATCACATCCTTCTATATATAGGAAAAATATACATAGAGTTGTATAATCTATATTATTTTCTACTAATTATTTATTTAATTAAATAATTTTAATTAGGTAACGGAAATGGAAATGGTAAAAATGGCAACGGTAATGGCAACGGATACTCGAACGGAAATGGAAGACAATATTTGCCTCCCAATGGCAATGGTAACGGTAACGGCAATGGCAATGGTAATGGCCGTCCTAAACCAACATATGGAGTTCCCCGCAATGGTAATGGCAATGGAAATGGAAACGGAAACGGAAACGGTATAACTCATTTTCTTTTGTTTTTATATAAATCGGTAAACATGCTGACCTAATATATGATTTATAATAAATTATAATATTTAATCTAGTTCTTATTTTAATGCTAACAATTATCAAAGTTCAAAGATATATTTGTTTAAATTATTGTAAATTTTATTAGTACTCATCTTTGTTAAAGAGTAAGTAATATGTATACAGAAATGTATATAACATATGCGATCATTAGTTTTTGGCCAGTTCAGTATAGAGAATTTAAAAAAAAATATATGAAGGATGCAATTTAAAAATTTAGAGTTTTAAAACAAGAAAAGAAATATATACAAAAAATTATTCCAGTTATTGATTTTGCCAATCACTTGCCAAATAATCTTCAACTTCAACTGATCTCAGTTATATTAAATTAGTCTGTCTAAGTTAACCAAGTAGGTCAAAATGTTACATTAATAGTAGCAAGTCGCAGTAGAACAGGCTGATAGCTACACCAAAAATTTAATCTAATCTACCATATCTGAATTAAATTAGTTAATCTAAAATATATTTATATTTCAAATTAGGATTTAAAAACCAATTTTTTTTATTTATATAGGTAATGGCAAACCAAAACCAGTATATGGTGTCCCTACAAATGGAAACGGCAACGGCAACGGAAACGGATACTCTAACGGCAACGGCAATGGCAACGGTTAGTCAATAAATATTCATTAATTTACCAATTAATTAATTTTACATAATTTAACACAGGATATAGCAGACCAAGTTCAACATATGGTGTTCCAAACGGTAACGGAAATGGAAATGGCAATGGCAATGGTAAAATAATAATATCCTTTTTAAATAAACCTATTTTAATAAGGAAAATATACTAGGAAATGGAAAACCTAAACCAACATATGGAGTACCCAACGGAAACGGTAATGGAAACGGTTATGCCAATGGAAACGGCAACGGAAATGGATACGCTGCAAATGGAGGTTATGCTAATGGAGCGCCAGAAGAAAGTACTGTAAGTGATTTCTTTAAAACTTATGAATATTGTCCAAAAAAGGCTTCTGCGTATTTCTATACTCGCACTGTAAGAAAATCAACAAAATAAAATAGCTTTTTCCATAGCAACTGTTAAAATTGTCTTATATCTATCAAAAATGGTAGATAAAATAGTACTTTAACCCCAAGTGTAGATAAAATGATACTTTAACAGCGAGGATAGGTTAAAACTTTATTTCTTCTCGCACGTTTTTTAACTGCTTCCATCTTTGAAAATTTTTGTATTCCTTTTCATAAGTTATTCGAGATTTAAATGGTCAGCCTGAATATCTGTTGGTAATTTACTTATTTCGTTTTGAGCCATTTTTGGCTCCAATCAGCAATCGACACGAAAAAGAATTAACAAAAATTGACTCAAAACTAACAACTAAAGAGACAGCTTTATTTATTTGTCAAATTACATAGAAACCAACGCCAACCCAGCACAATATGTTCTCTACTCGTAATAAATTCCTTGAAATAATGATTTCTGAATATTTTTTAAAACGTAACGCGCTATGGAAAAAAAATATTATTTTCGACACGACGATAAAATTGCATTATCGTCTTGTATAAAAAATAACTATATTTTTGTTAATATCAGTGCGTGACCAATGTTGACATGGGTATTTTACTAATAAAACAAATTTGCCTAACGAACAAAAAAAATGCTTAACGTTTCAGGAGGTTATATCTCCTCCTGTCATGGGAAGCAAAAAAACAAAGAACAAAGAAACAATAACTTAAAATATCTAACTACCACTATTCAAGAACATTTTAGTTCTTTTTAACAGATACGTCTATTAAAAACCGCTGACGTTCTGTTAAAATTACATATTAAGTTCACTTCAAAATTAACAATTACCTACTACCTGATAACAATTAATTACTTAATAAGGTAAAACCAAAAAGCCTCAATCTTTCTGTATATGATATATCGTATGATCGAAAAAAAAACGGCGTCAACGATGGCTATAAAATGTATATCGTTGTCATTTTATATATAAATTTATATAGGGAATGTCATCGATCGTCATTTCCCAGCCAACTGGACGCCGTTTTTTTTTCGATCATACGGTAAGATGTTATGTTTATTAAAATTACAGAAGCAGCGGTAGCCATACAATTACTAACTTCTACAGCTGCCTGAGCGATACTTTTTTTTATATTAAACTGTATTAAAAAATCCTCATTTATTTTTCTCTTAGAGACTATCATCGTTAATAAAATTACCTTCAAAATAAACAATTACTACCTGGTAATAATTACTTTTACAATTACTTATTTTAGTTTGTATGAATATTGGTCTATATATTTTTTTCTAATTTAAAATATTTTTGTCTGGAAAGTAAACGATACAAATTCAAATTAGAATTTCTTTACATTGCATCTTAACTCTAGTATTTTAACCCGCTAATTTGAAAGTATACAATTATTATTTAAATGTAATTTGTATTAAATAGGAACCTGCGAAGTACCAATTCGAGTATCAAGTAAGCGATCCAGAATCAGGAAACGAATTTGGGCACAAGGAGGAAAGAGACGGAGATTTCACTACCGGCGAGTACAACGTCCTTCTTCCTGATGGTAGAAAGCAAATTGTAACGTACGAAGCCGACTTGGATGGGTACAAACCGGTAGTCACTTATGAAGGTAATTAATGAACTAAAATTGAACATACACTTAAACTTCAGCCAATATTATTTATGGCTTCAGTGTTAAAAAATTATGAATTGCCCTTTTTAAACTTACAACTTTCTTTTCATAAAGAAAAAAATCTCCAAATTAAGTTTTTACTTCTTTCCCTTCTTTCCAAGCTTGGTTTTTAGTTTTCTAGACATATTCAGCTTTTAAAGTGTCAGAGCCATACAGTAAAATACTTAAAATACTTACTTTTTTGTTGTTTTATCTGCTAATGTACATTCTAATTTTTATTTTTAATGTACATTTACTGTACTCTACTAAATGGGCTCAGTAGGTAGGTAGTTTTATACCGCATATTGCATGTGAATAATATATTTACTTCATATTATCTACTGTAAACATTCCTAAAAATAGCAAAATGTCCTTAAGATCATTTATTGAATTGTTTTGCTATTACATTTCTTACTGCAAATATTCAGAGGTATTTTCCTCTATTCCCGTAATTACTAAACTCAAATTCGATTAGTAGTTTGCTTTAATTCATATCTTTTAAAATCATTATAAACCAATACAACAGCAGCAGGTACCTAGTAGTGCAGATACGATTGTTCTTCTCTGGTGCAGAGGTACAGCAGTCGTTTGAATATCCAGTCGAATCAACATTAAATGAATACTTGTTATATTCACAATTCTAAGATAACAATTATTGTTGGCTGAAGCGTAGTATTAGCAGTATCTACCTAATGTACTGACGGCTCTACTATATCAGGTTATACCTTGCTACTCCTAGTGCGTGTGAATGGTATACATATGAGAAACTACTATGACAACCAAATACTGCCTTTATCAATTTTTAACAACTTTCGTAACCTTCTTATTGGTTTCAATAATACTATTTTGGAATCCAGATTAGAGTAACACTATTATGTTATTTCAACGATTTCAGAAGCTGCAATCTGAGGAATTTTGGTTTTTGACAAATTCTACTTTTCCATATTGGTTAAAAGTTAATCTGATTAAAATACCTGTTACTCTGATTATACTATTAAATGGTTTATTTTTTGAGTATTTCGCGTAAAATTAACTATCGGCAAAAATATCTTAGTTGCAACGTGGGACATTTTGATTTTTGACAAAATTTGCTGGGTATCTCTTCTATTTTTTTTTTCAAAAAAAAAATATTTTGCTTCAATTAAAATATGTTGTAGTGCTAACCGCCTACTTACTACGACTCATTTTCTGATTAAGAGTGAGTACTAGAATTCTTATGTTTTTAATGTATATCTGTCTTAAAAATTTATAAAGATATTCTTATACCAATAAAATAAACTTTAATGTAACTTAGAACAGTCGAATAAGTTAGGCGTGGCGACCAAACCAACCAATATTTGATGGTGCTACCTACAGTTTTTATTACAGCTATTTATTTAAAAAAAAATTTCGTTTGTTTTTTAATATAATTCTTATCTTCTAAGGTGGAAATGGAAATGGAAACGGTAATGGAAACGGATACTCCTATCCCAACGGCAATGGAAACGGTAACGGAAACGGATACTCTTATCCAAATGGCAATGGAAACGGAAATGGAAACGGATACAGCAACGGAAACGGCAATGGGGGCAATGGAAACGGCAATGGCAACGGATATCCCGGGAGTAACGGAAACGGATACTCGTACTGATTGCAGTTTATTTTCCAATCTAGTAATAAATATTGCAAAGGATGCGGGTATTTGTCTAATGAAGTGATGAGGACTGACAAATATATTAGTACCTTTTCCTAAAAATGCCAAGGATTTCAACTTAACTCTCACCTATATCTATAACTCTTACCTAGTCTTAAAAATATTATTTTTCAACAGATATGTACACAAATCGATATACTTACAATATATCTGTTTAAAAATAATTCTATTTGTCACCGCCACTAACTGCATTAGCGTTATACTTATTTAGTTTTTAATTTTTAATTTTGTATTATATTACTATAATTTCATTTATATGTGTTTAGTTTTAGTATTACTTTACACACATTTGTACTACGACCATTCTTTCAGTATTTATTTCATTTGTGTAATCATTTTATAGTGTTATTTGCCTATGATGTCAATCGACTGATGACGACTGCTATGATAAGGACCTGATCATTAAATCGTGTTCAATTATTATTTGCGGACACTGTATATATTCTGTAATGTAAAAGTAAATCTTTTACGTATCTAGTATTTATTTATTTTTAAATAAATGCTGTTTGTATGATATCTGAAGTTTTAATTTTTACTATTCAACTATTATTGGTATATCTAGCTGAAAAAATTTTAAACTTAAACTATAAACTGCCACAAATAACGATCATATTATAATTTAAAATAGGAAATTTGATATAATAATAATTTCTAATGTGATAAATTTTAACTTGAATGCCAATCATATACTCTACAGAGACATATGGGTGGTTAATTCATTTATGGCGAGTTTACAATATAAAATAAATTATCTGTGTATAAAAATACAAATCTGACTTGTGCATAGAATGGTATAATACTTTAATAAAAAAAAATTATATATTTAATTGATGTATGAGAATATTATAAGTACAATTGGAAAACAAATTTGCACATTTATGCATTATGGGAAACCATGTTATAATATAATTGAGAAACATTACTAATCAAATGATCAATAATTTGCAAAACATGTCTGTAAAATAAAGCAATTTACTGACAATTAGTTGAAACTAGAGCGGCTCATGTTTTTATTTGCATATGTTACATATTTAAGGATATTTTTAAGGATATTTAAGGATTTAAGGCCGTTTTATTTTATCCTTGGACATACTAAAAGTTCCTATCGTTTCTAGGAGCTTTGCAAATTTCCTAGGTTGTACTATATAACATGACCTGATCCTTTTAATATAGACTAGAATGGTCTGATTTGTATTAGGACATATTTGATTTGAAATGGCCTTATAGAACTATTTTGCATCTAGTGGTTTCAATAGACAATAATACTATTTCTGTTGATTCTACATCATGTATCATACCCCGTCTTATAATATATGACACAATTAACGTGGAAATAAACCTTTATGAAGAAAACGTTGGAAAGGGAAACTGAAACCTCGTCATGTGTAAATGTATTGACATATGATGATCAATATAGGAATTTCATTGATACAATAATTCAAAATGCCACCAAAGGAATTCTTGCTGAAACCAATAAATGTTGTTTAGTTGCTATCTTTTAATGAAAAAGTGAACCTTTTGTTTTATAATTTAAATCATATTTACAGGTAAAAACTGCGTTATTTCTTAGGTAAAAAGATTGCAATTCAGTTTACATCGAGGTTTACTCGTATTTATATCGAGGTAACTTTGACCTCGTAAAAATTGTGGATTTTGAAAAACTTTTTGCTTGGCTTTATCCTTCGACTTCTAAAACACATACAAATTTAAAATATCTATTTTTCAATACTTACTTGGCGTCAAATTTTTATTATTTAAAATACAAAATAGAGTGACTTCTGATCTTCTGGGTTGAAGTTTTCCATAAAGCAGGTCAAATCTGATATTTCCTAAGACAAATCAGACCATTCTAGTTTGTCCTAAAAAGTATCAGGCCATACCAGTATGGCCTAGGAAATTTGCAGAGTTCCTATTAATATAGATAGGACGCTAAAAAAATGTTCAGTTCAGAGTTCACATTATCAAGTTCACTTAACGGTGAGTGATACTTCTGGCCGAAACGTTGTGTAAACATAATAAATAAAGACAATGAAAGTCCGAAAGTCTTTTTGTTTCAATACTGAATCATTGTCTACCACATTCAAAATAAATATAGATATGAATTGTTGGTAGGTCCTAGTCAACAAACTAAAACGGCTAAAAATCAGATATTTCCTAAAACATATAAAATGCAAAGTGTTATACCTATATCTAATCCAAAATGGTTTCCAGCTTGGTACAAAAATAACGTATTCTAAATATTCTTGATTGGGTTGTGCGATAAAATAATTATCTGGATAATGGCATGGTGTAAATTTTACAAAAAGCGCCAGAACATGTAAAAATTAATTGGATAAGAAAACAGAATTATAAAATAAATTTGCGTTCACTTAAGACAAAAAAGCAGTCCTAATTTTAAGAGTTTTATTATTTCTGAGACGCATAAAAGCGTTAGTCAGAAAATAATGCCCTGAGGGTTACAAGAAACATCTCCTTTGGCTCCTCGCCTTTGGCCTAAGAGATATTTTTACACGATGAGTGTCATCGCATACTAACTATTTGTGAAAAGTATGCAAATTTACCAAATATATCACCTTTTTGATAATTTTATTACAAAATCATTTAAGAAAACAGATTAAAGCTGTACTATATTATGTATTATGTCTGTGCTTTGTTCTATCAGTTTGCCAGGGACTTTTGTTATGCCCTGTGATATTGTCATAATGCCCATGTATTATATGTTTGCTTAAGTATTAGGAAGTTAATTATAATAATATTTCAAATAATAATTGTTGATTATTATATACACAATTAATTTAACCATTATTATTAAGAAATTACGCATAAAGCTGAAATAGTGGAAAAGTAAAAAGTATTATTCGAAAGAATCACCTTTTATATTTATAAAAACAAAGTGTAAATAATTCAGTTATTATTGGATTGTTTTTTTTAATTTTATATTTAGTATAATTATATTAGTAATATTAGCTTTTAGTCATTTAAGTCATTTAATAAATTAGCTCTACTTCTTAATGTGAGATAGTTTTTCGATGTTTTTATTAACTGGCAATTGAAAACAATGGGGGGGGAGGGGCTATTTATCTAAATTAAATCATAGATTCTATTTTTTTGTTAATTCTCTTTAAACCATTTTAATTCTATACAACAAAAAAAAAAAAAAAAAAAAAAAAAAAAAAAAATCTGTTTAAATAATATTCCATATTATAAATATGTGACTGTGATTTGTGTGTAATAATTTATAAACTTTTTAAATATTTTTTTTTTTTTTTTTTTTTTTTTTTTTTATTTTATATTATGCTAATTTATAAATAATACTATAATATTTTTTTTTTTGAAATTTTCGTATAAGGAAGTAATATTATTTTTTTTACACATTTTTTTTTTTTTTTTATTTTTATATTATGTATAATAATCAATAATCTGTTGAAGAAAACTAACCAAGAGTGCAGAAGTTAATATTTCAAAATTTTAATTAAAATTTTTTTTTTTTTTTTTTTTTATTTATATAAAATGTCAAAATGTATATAATATGATAAATGTTATATTTTAACCATAAAAAATAGGTTGTTTAAAAGTATTGGTTAAAAATGAACAAGTTAAAATAAATATTTATAATAACATTTATATCCATGAGTTAAGCCATAAATGGTAATAAATAAAAAAATATGTATAATATATAATATACTGGTTAAATAGTTTCAAAATCAAGAATTATGACGAAGAAGAATTTGTAATATATATTCCGCAAAATATGTGACACCGGGAGAACTATGTAATAATAAAAAGTTAGGATAGCTATAATGACCATCAACCTCCAAAGGAGATTACTGCAAAAAAAAAGAATTCAATACCAAGCAAATTTGATTTTTTGTTGAAGAGGATACAATTTATTGTCACTGAGGCTTATTTCATATTTGAGACACTGGATATTAGTAGATTGAAATCTATATAATAACGATTTATATACATATAAATCTAACTAATACTTTATATTTATATAAATCTAACTAAGACAGAGAAGCAAAGTTTGTGTCATTCATATTAATATCTACAGACGCAGAATAAAAATTTTATAAATTTCTATTAAACAGAAATATTTTTGTTGTTCTTGTATCGTGTCCACCATTGAAAAGTGATTGAGCTAAAAAATAAAAACATGTTTCTGATTTCTGTCAAAAAAAATTATTCATATATAGTTCGTTTAAAAGAAAAGCAAATATGAACAAAAATAAACAGTGCCTACATAGTATTTAAAATTGATATCTAAAGTTTGTAAGAAGAAAAAACTGTAGTATAATTCTATTAAAAATTTATAATTTTTAATAGTTGACAAAGTTGATATTTAGAAGAAAATTAAAACTAGAGTTAACTAGAAAATATTGGTATTCATATTATATGCGTGTAAATAAATTAATAAAAGAACCAATATACCCCTATTGTTATAGTTTATCTATATTTAACTTCGTATTTAATAAAATAGCAGTTCTAGTGCCAACTGTCGGTAAATGTTTAGACATACTTTTTTCTAGTAAAACAGGTTTATTCTAAAAGATGTCGCTAGGTAACATTCAATGATTCAAAACAAAGAATATTTTAATTTAAAGCATGATTTATTTGGAGTATGTTATTAATAAGAGACTAGTTCATTTTTGTTTCCTGGAAATATAAAGTTATACAGGGTCCAGTAATAGATACGTCGCGTCGGGCATCTGTAGCTCCTAGAATAATAAAAACTGGGAATTTTGTTTAAGTGCAAACCTAAATTATCTACTAGGACGTATTTCAAAAAATATTTTAACTTCTATAGGGTGGTTCAAAAAATGTGAGTGGATCGAATGATTTTTTAAACGGAAACCCTGTATATTTTTGCATTTTTGGCTTCCTTTCAGATATCAATTTACATAATCCTTAGACATGAGTAAATATATTTCGATATTTCAGAGCTATTAATAAATAAATAAAATTATATATTTTTTCAGCTTCCTTCTTTAAAAAATATTAATAACAAGAACTGTCCTGAAATCAAAACTGTTATAGATATTTACTTTAGATGGTCTGTTCTAACTTTGCTATAAACATGGTAACTGTAACCTAT